GGTAGGTCTTAAAGGGTTAATGGAAACAGTCTTTCTATGCTATACAAAGACATGTACATGGAATATCTGCAACACACATTTATTTGCAGTAATTGAGGTTTAAAGTTTAGCTTTAAAACCCCACTTAAACCTGTCTGGGCATTTAATGTACATTAAGAAACCTTAAATTATTATTTTTTGTTCTTGTTTGATCTTTTTAACTGACTTAAAAAAAAGTGGGTTTCATGCGGTTCAATTCCACTGACGCATGCTGTGTCTCTCACTCTGCCCGACCAGAACTCCAGCCATGATCGGCTGCTCTTTCGTGGTAGATCGGGAATACTTTGGTGAGATCGGTCTGCTGGATCCTGGCATGGAGGTCTACGGCGGTGAGAACATCGAGCTGGGCATGCGGGTAAGGACCACATTTTATTACCCAAGCTGCTGCTACAATTTAGACTTTTATAAACAGCTTTAAAGGTAGACTTTGTTTTGTGTCTTTAAACTAAATGAGAAGCTGCTGTGTTAAGAGAGAGATGAAACTTCTCAGAGAAAAGCTGCGAGAAAACTTATGTTGTTAATGAGGCTTTCCTTCAAAGCTGCAGAGGTTTGTGTCTGAAGTTCTACACCGGGAAGGCCACACAAAGAAACATAATTACAGAGCCGATATTTGAGGGAGTAATGCTTAGATGAGCAGTCGTTGTTAGAATGATTTGTGAAATCTGTATTCAGACTTTCGAACAGCTTATGATCAAGTTTCCTTATGTTTCCCAGCCGGAGGGATACAGCTTAAGAAACAAAACCCAGGGGCATCAACAGAAACCATGATTAAACTTTCCAAAGTTTTTTCGATGGGAGTGGAGGAGGGAAATAAAAAAAATCCCCTTAATGCAAATCTTTAGCCAACCCAAAGGCTCTAAAGCTTGTATACAGAAAATGTAAATCTCTTTGGCTGCTGCTTTGAGTTGAATTTAACGCTTGATGTGAGCGAAGGGCTTGCTGAAGAATCGGTTAGCGTTTAAATTCAGAAAATGTTTCTCTCCAGCCAAGTGGAACCTTTCTGAATCGAGACGCTCTCCTCGGGCTTATTGCGATGAGAAATGCTTGAAAGATCCCACTCTTCATTTAACATCATGCCCACATACATTTCAAAATCTCGAGATTCCATCAACGACACCTCTGAAGTGTCGGCTGCTTTTGAAAGAGCACTTAAACGGAGGCTGGAGAATGTTTTCGTGTTTGTGCAGCGCTTTATTGAAGATGTTTATAGTTGCTGATTATTATTTCAGAGCCTTCGTAGAGTGGCTTTTCCTGTTTATATAAATGGCATGATTCATCGCCGTCTGCATAATGATACAATCATCTGGCCTCTTCTGTCTTTAGCTCATAGTTTTACCATTATTATGTAGTAATAACTCAGTATTTTCTATTATGTGCCAACCGCTGACAGCCTGCCCCAAGCTTACAGAGCTTTCACATTCAGCAGCCCTGCTTATATGCACCTAACAAACCATGCAGCTGTGTTAGACGATGTTCGTGGGGGAGATCAATTCAGCTACAGCAGCTAAATAAACCTAGAACAACTCTATTGAACTGTGTGATATAGTTTAACAGCGAGCACTGGCTCTGATACGCACCAGCTCCTCATTGTCTCTCTTTTCTCACTGAATATTTACTATCGCTTTTTTTCATTCATAAACTGAGAAGGATAACGGTCTGTCTGCAAACAGAGCGCCATCACAAAGGCAATTACCTATCCTCCTGTTTGGCCTGTCTCCGTGTGGAAATGAAACACATGCCACGAAAAAACAGGCCATTCAGCTCACACACACAAGCCTGACTGGGTCGACAGTCAACAACTAGCTTCGTCCATTCATAATGTACAGCCTTTAATGGAGTCGGGATCCCGGCAAGTGAGCCGCAATCACTCCTCTTTGGCTACTGCGGCTCAGGCAGCTCATTGTAGTGCCGGTTGAAGAGCTGCCACTGGGATAGGTTTGATTGACAAGAACATGTTTAACAATTAGCCAGGGCAGCTCACAGGAGCCCGGGATCGTCTGACTGCAGGAGCCTGATGAGAGGCAGGGTTCACATTCAAAGGTTATGGTATATTTATCATCTAACGGGAGTTGTTCCTTTGTGTCTACGAGGGATGCAAAGAATCTTTCGTAGGCAGGAGGGATGTGCAGGGGCTGATTAGGCTGCACATAGCAATGTGGTGCGGTGTCACTTCTGACAGGTAGACAACAGAATCAAACCGGGGAGGAGGGGTTTCTCACCGATGTGTTTGCTCAGGAGTGAAATCATTTATAAGCTAGGACCTGTAAATGAAGAGAGACAGCAGAGGCAAATCACACTGATGAAAGATCACACAGAGTTCGTCTGCAGCCTCGTGATGTCACTCTCTCGCTTACATAATCACAACAAATAAAGGAATGCATTAAATGCGTTTTTTTAAATCTTCCAGAGGATCTTTCATTGCCCTTGTAAATAATTGCAGATGGCATGTTTGAACTTACCACAAGGCCGCTTTTGCAAACAGAGAAAAATGGTTTGGGACAGTAACGGTGAATTCTGCCAGAAGTGTCAATATGAATTTATCCTGCAATGTGTCTCCCACACCTGCTTCACCGAGTCTTTGCTGATATAGAGCCCCAGTAGACCTGGACACTGCCTTTCATTTTTCAAATTCCTCTGTGATACTGTGACACTCACTTCGCAAATATAATACTACACAAAATCTAGCAGGGGTCACTCCTCCAGCTGCCGTCCCTGCTATTTCCACCGGAACAGGGAAAAAGGAAACCTTTTGAAATGTGGCAATTATGCTTATGCTTATTCTTTCACCACATTAAAGCAAGAGGAAAATAGCATTTGTGGACTCGGTTTTCTAACAGCTCAGGTTTCATTACTTCTCTTTGTAAATAATAAATATAAATAAGAAAGGTCTGTGCAGATTCTTAGTCATGCAGCTGTGAGTATTCTCAAGCGCTTGAAATGAAGGCAGCTGGGCTTCTTTTTGGTTTTAGGCTATAGAAGTGTTGGACTTCCATCAATTTCTGTTTCCAGTGAGTAAATAAATGTCTGGCACTTCTGGGAATGAAAGGATTAAGGTGTTAATTTGACATAATTCAAGCACTGGGAGTGATATATAAACATGTTGTGCCCTGTAAGTTTATGAAGCTGGGAAAGTCATCAAATTCAGCAAACTCTGCAGGCAGATCTATAGTTTGTGTTAGCTTCATGCAGCTGCTCGCAGCTCGTTTGTGCTGCCTGTGTACTCTGTGTTCACACAGTGCTAAATGCATTTAGTAAAAGACTTGTGCCATGCTAAACTAAAACTGCTACATTCAGTCATGCCCTTCCCTTCACATCCTAATCTAACAAAGTCAGTTTGGCATACCATTTTATGACTTGAAGAAATTTAATTCGTAAACATTTTTGCCCGCCAAACTATGATGGCAACCATGTTTCTGCCAGAAAAAGTCTAGATGGGTTTACCCACACAATATGCCCACGAGCTTACATTGCCATCAGGAAGCCATCCAAGCTGCTTCATGAAATCTGTCTCATTTTCATAACAGTCTAATCAATCAGTCCAAGAACCTTGTGAAGTGTGATCTCATGGGGTGGCCTGCTTGTCTTGATGACATTTATTAAACTCACCAGGAACTCCTTTCAGGAGTAATGAACCAAAAAATAATCTTTTTTTTTTTCTTCTTTGAAGCCCCATCTCTATACCCACCTGGGCTGGGCCTCGAGGCATCTGCTCATAATCTCTCTGTGGTGAGGAGAATTGAGCTAATTAAAGTGTAGCAGTACCAGCAGCTAGACAGGAATGGGACATAATTACACTTCAGTTGGTTTATTCTGTATCCCGAGCAGAGTTATTATGGTGGGATCAAAGTATAGCATGTCCAGTCCAGTATATGTATTATATTGGTTTTAGATCAGTGCATTTTTTAATCTCATGCATTTAAAATGTGACACTACATAACAGGTTAGACCTGTTGCCCGGTTTGTTGTAATAACTGTCAAATTTAGATAAGCGCTTGATGGACGTTTGAACATGAAGTGTGACGTCATCAAGGTTAGTTTGTTAGCCCAATATGTGAAAGGCATCTCAGTTTAGGACTCACTTAATCTTCAGTCTTGTGCAAAAGTCTTGAGTCACACCTCCCTGCTTTTATTTTGTCAGACTTTCTTGCTATTTTTTTTAAATGTTCTTCAGCTGTAGCTGTAGTATTTTGAAGGTAGCCGTACCAAATACTGATTTCTAGCTCATTAGAATTGTAGGATTTTGCCTCGAGCACTATATTTTCATACATGTTTGCACATTTCAATAAATCTCTATTTACCATTTTCCCAACAAAATATATAGAAAAAAGGGGGTTGCTCGAGACAGTTGCACAATACTGAAGTCCTAAACTCAGGTCCCTTTCACATATTAGGCTAACAAACTAACCTTGATGACATCACACCTCATGTTTAAACTTCCATCAAAGTTTTTTGGATTTTAGCTTCTAGCTTGGGCAGCACGGTGGCGCGGTGATTAGCACTGTTGCCCCACAGCCCGAGGCATTCCTCAGTTTGATTCTATCTGTGTGGAGTTTGCATGTTCTCTCCGTGTTTGTGTCTGTTCTCTCCGGGTACTCTGGTTTCCTTTCACAGTCCAAAGACATGCAGTTAGTGGGGTTAAGCTAACTGGTCATTCTAAATTGCCCATAGGTGTGAGTGCAGCTGGTTGTCGTCTCTATGTGTTAGACTGACAACTAATGGATGGATAGCTTCTAACTTTTAAAAACTTTTAAGTGGCAGGTGACTCAGTAACTGTGCAATCATACAGCATTTTAAAATAGCTAGCTAGCTAGCATTTAGATGAAGCAGCGCTAGTTTCAGTGCAAGAAACAGTGTCGATGTCAGCTGCAGGTTGCTTATTAACACCTGCTCGTGTTCTGAGGCTGTCAAACAAGCTGGGCTCAGAAAAGTTTCTAGATGGATAGAATTTTATTTCGAACATGCAAATATAACTGAAATAACAAGAGCAAAAACAAAAACAAAACTTAGAAAACATCAAGTTTTCATGTATGTACGTCTACAGAATGTGTGTGCTCAAAAAGGAGTAGGATGAAGTTTACACTTTTCCTGTTCCTAATCCCTTATTTCAAATTTCATTACTTACAAATCCATATTCAGAATTCACTATTCACAAGTGTCACTAAAAGTCACTTTGAGCATTATGACCCTGCATAGCTGCAAATTTTAAGCACTGTGCATTGTTATTACAAACTCAAATGTCTGAAATACAATATTTCTCAAGTAAAACCTTTAGACAGATAATGTACTTTTGTCTTTCACTTAGAGCTGGGCGATAGAACGATAACGATATGTATTGCGAAATAACTTTTTCTCGAT